TTGTTTTATTGGACAAATGTTACTTGTATTTATATGATTACAAATTACAGTTGTCAGACCCAATTGGCCATCTGATCTCACAAATGCATCAACGTGTCCAGTTAACAGCTCACTGGATTTCCACCAATTTGTTGAATCTAAATTACTCAACAATCATCAACTAGTGACTTCATATATATGCTGGTAGCCTTGTATTTACTCTCAGACATAGCACAATAGATCATCCCAGATAATACCAATAGCGTCAGTTACCTCCACTTTATTTGTAATGTTGATCGTCATTCCTGTGGAAATTGAATAGCTTAACGTCCATATTTACAGAGCAAAAATGCAGATACGTTCCTTCACGGACAGAAAACTGTTTGAACCATTGTTTTCTGTAGAAGAAACACAATATGTCATGTGTTGGTTAAATTACAGTGTTAAACTGCAACAGTACACCAGACTTCATCCATAGTTCACTACATAACAACATTTATTTATTTGAAGGTACTGGTCAGTATTAGATGGTTTTTCTCATAAAAACATGATACCATTAGTTAGGTGAAGTCAGAGACATGCCTCTCCAGTCACATTTAGTTAAACACTGGCAACCATTTTTCATCTATGGAGAAGCTAATTTTGCTTATACAAGCAGTTCAATATAGCTGACCCATCAGCCTACAACCAAAGCATATGATTTTTCCTTTATTTCAAAGTGATATTTGGATGAAAGCATCATTGGCATCTGCTGCAGCAAAAACATCACTAGAGGGATTGAGTAGCCCTCGTCCATTCACTGGTATCCAGTGTGTCTGTGTCACAGTAGCAGGATGTGTTTATGGCTGATTCACCACTGGCATAATAAAACGAGCCCAGTATGATGCAGGCACCTCAGCAGGATGGTCTGGGTGATATAAAGTCACTGTAGGCTCTTCTTCTTCTCTTTTGACTTGTTCAAAGCTACTAAATTTAACTTAGTTGTCACAGATACTTCTTCCATCAAGTGGAAAATGTCTCTCACACTCACGAATTATCTCACTGATGATGCAATATGATGCTCCATTATCTCGGTCAGTAATTTCCTACAAACTTGATCTGCTGATGCCATAATGCAATATGCCTGCTTGTGTAAAAGGCACAGATTGTGCGTTTAAGTGGCCAAGTTTTCCATGGAGCAACTTTTTTCTAGCCTTGAATTCAGTGTGATTAGTGAAACTTGACCATGACCATATCTTATTTAAAAACTCTCTTGTTCAGTACAACAGAAAATGATGCATTTACATTTTCTGGTCATGATACAAACATTTCTTCTCAATTTTGTACTTTGTAATATTATTAGGTACTGATAATCCCAGAAATGTGGGTACATAGTAAATGCCATAGTTTGAGAAATATCAAGAAATATATATTACATGGAATTATACTTAATTTTTGTGAGTATGACCGAGTTTGAGCCAAAAAACAAACAAACAAACAAAACAAAACAAAAACAACAGCAAAACAAACTAGACACGATTTAGACAAAGTGAAAATTAATCTTTATTTAAAGTTCAAACAAATTCAAGTGACAAGTACACTAGACTTATAGTAGAGATCTTGTTCTATAATCACAGAAGCTGAACTTGAATGCAAAATAATCTGTTATAGTTTGAGTGAGCACAGCACTATACAAAATTATATGGAGCCATCCCTCTCATTATGCAAATATCACTACAATATCATTGTGTGTCATTCCAAAATCAATTAGGGAGAGTCTTTGTTAACCTTTATACAGGGTATACCATTAAACAGCTATTTTCTCACGAGAAAGTGTATGTGAAACTAAAGGGGCATGGCCCAGAACAGCAAGTAACTAGGGCGAAAGTAATTTAGTTCACGTCCCATCACAGACATTCTATTGTCAAAACTACACACGTAGCTAGAAACATGCATGAGCAATATTTTTTTCCCAATTCTTGATTTTACGAAATGTTCACCTTAATGAAATAAAGAAGGCAGAGAATACTAAATATGTTTTGCATAGCACAATTTCAGGGCTTATAACTATAAGGCTGGGTTTGGCCTAGTGATTAGACTATGAAATCAAGAGTTAATGGTTCACGGACAGTTACTCCCCCCTCCCTAAAAGATAATCGCCTTCCACAATTTGGGGATTTGGGTGTTCTATAACGGTGAGGTCAAACCCCACTGTTCGAAAAGATAAGAGTAGCCGATACTGGCGGTGAGTGTTGTTGATTAGCTGTCTATCAGTTCAAAATTATGGACGAATTTGCACAAATAGTCTTTTGTGTAGCTTTGCGCTAAAATTGTGAAACAAGCGAATTTATAAAGCTAAAATTTGACGTTCGATCGTTCAGTGGACACATCGTGCAGCTTTACGTTTAGAACAAAACAAACAAATAAGCTAACAGATACAGTATACTTATAAATTATGTTAGGCAACTTACAAGTAAACCAATAAATAATATTATCTGGTAAAATAAAATCATAAGCAGATGAAAAGGCACAATTTTGTCGAAGTAATAAACTTATTATATTACTGTATGCAATTTTCATTGCACTTAACAACGAGGCTGAATTAATAAATTTCCTCATTATTATATTTCACCGAATTATTTATGTAATGATTTACTGTTGCTTTCGCATTCACACTGTACTTATACAATACTATAATTAAATAAAGCAAATAAACACAGATTAAAAAACAAGATTAAAATGCTGTTAATAAACATCGTTGTTACGCAATCTTAATTATTTAGACAATTTTATTCATAAGACTTCCCACGTGGTAGCGATTCATTTAACAGAAACAGTGTTTTTAACTCTTGACGTCATAGTATACTTTATAGTGAACTTAGCAACAATATATAACTGGATTATGAAATTAGGCCTACTTGTGTTTTCCGGTAGGTATTATTAAGTGTTTTGCGGAAATGCAGAATTCATTCAAGATTTTGATTTGGTTAGTAAAGGTTTTTGAAATCCGATATAGTGTCTTCAGTTTTATCGTTTTTTTTTTACATTTCATCGTTACTAGTTATTATGATAGTAGTTACAACACAAGTAAGAGTCTAGATAAGTAGATTTGTAAAGTAGAACTTTACTCTTTGGTTTAGAACTAGAAGCTTAAACTGTAAAGTTAAGCTAGAGTTAGAAAGAAGTTCAACTTCAACTTTCAAATAAACTAGTAGTTGTACTAGTTCTTACTTAGTTACTACTATAAGGATAATACTAGTACAACAGAAGTAGATCTATTAGTATTACTACGGTAGTTTTTATTTGAACTATATACTACTAATTCTAATATAACTTAAAAACACAGCTTAAGTCTTAACTGAATTATGTAAGTAATATACAGCATCTCAACATAAGTAAAAAAATACTTTTCACTCGAGTTTTAAGCCTAAGCAAAATTAGCAAATCTAACATTTAATAAATACTACCTTATGAACGTTGACAAATCTTTAACGTAATTACAAATACTGAAACTTTATATAAGTCAGAAACAAATGCAAAGGCAGTCTTATGAATTAGACTGTAACTGTAAGGTCTTAAACTTACCACTTGGCATTAAGCTTTAACTTTTAAGTTTCAAATTAGGGCAGGCTATCTAAGTTATATCCCATGATTTAGCAAATCGCATGAAATTATCTGTTGAACAATTACCTAAATTCTGTGCAAGTGACTCACTCTGTTAGGGGGATGATAAAATACTTGTTTGTCTTGTGTCAATGAAAATATTTAATATTTCTGCCCTCAGTAATTAAGAAAATGCTTATTTCACTAATCGAAAATATTGTGATATATTATATTAATTTTAGTTATAAATTGATTTCTTGTCCACCAATATTACAAGTTGTTGGATTATATTCTTTTCAATTTCAAAGACCCCATCTGTAATATATTTATTGTTATTATAGACATAATTTTATAACATCTGAGAAAGTGTGTGTGTACTGTGCATTTTTACATTGTTAAGCAAAATATTCCAACTGTTGATTTAAAAAAAAGTTTGATCAGATCATTAGATAGGTACATATCCATATATTAAAAGCAAGGCTTAATGTTGTAACTGTCAGTCAGTTGCAAATATTATACACAGAATGTTTTTGTTGTTATGGACCTTTTGGATACCTCTGGGCACAGAAAATGAACAGCCAAGTTAATAGAGATCTTTGCATCTGTTCTAAATTGTCCCTTGATACTTTTAGGGATTTTGTATTAACTCAGTGGTATTTTAATCTGAGGTTTCTTTTAATTTTTTTACCTGCAATATAGGTTCTCTTGAAAGGTTTTTGTGTAGGCAAGTTAAGGACGTTGTGTGCTTTCTGTGCATCACCATTACACATTCATGGCTCTCTCTTTCCTTTATTGGTGAAATGAAATATTAGAAGAAATTTCCTTATATCCCAGTTATATTAATTGGTAAAAGAAAATTTAATGTTTATTCAGTCAAATCGCAACTATCTGTTAACATTGTAAGATTGCTGAAATACAACTTGTATACTAACTAAGGATTACAGCTATGTATGTTGGTGCTTAAAAACCCTATTATTTTAGAGGTATTTTATAGGCATGAATGGGTTTAATTGTCACTAAATAATTAGTGTTGGTAAATGAGGTACTTCCTTGGTTTTTTTGTATAATGTATTTGAAGAGTACCATAGGTATTTAAGAATTCTCTATATGTAGTAAACATCGCCTTATGTTTATCTGAGTATATTAAAGATCTGAGAATAATGTGTAATTTTTGCTTCTGTTGTTACACGTGTAAAATATTTTAGATGTTAGAAAAATCAAATATTTTACAAGCTATTTTCACAGATGTAGGACCCAGTTACAAAACTTTATGGAGATTTCTTCAGCTTCAGAAAGCAACCTGAAACAAATAAAAATACGTACATGTATAAATATATTTATATACATGTAGTGAAAAATATAACGTTTACGTGTGTGATACATACCTTATTCGAGAGGCCAGCTAATACGACATGTAAAATATTTGATTTTTCTAACATCATAGTTCTCATTGTTTTATAAACATTTTAGAGATTGTATCAAACTACAATTAAAAAAAAATGAATGTTCATGGTCTCAGGCGTAACGTGAAAAATGTTGTTTGTAATTATTCCGATGCTCAAGTGAAAGTACGTAAAGCGACATCTAATGACCCATGGGGTCCATCAAGTACACTCATGAGTGAAATATCTAACTTGACTTACAATATTGGTGCTTTCTCAGAAATAATGCTGATGATTTGGAAACGACTGAACGATCATGGTAAAAATTGGAGACACGTATATAAGGCTCTGGTGCTTCTAGATTACTTGATAAAAACTGGATCTGAGAAGGTCTGTTTTTTTTCTCTATTCATTCTTATTCTGTGTCTTTTTATTAAGGATACAGTAATCTGAATAACTATATATTTTTTGTTCTTACATTATTTTGTGTTTATCAGAAATTAACATAGATATCTCTCACATCAGATTACAGGTTTAGGGTGATATTTATATTACCTATAAATACAATACAAAGAAATTACTTGATAGAGCAACATTTTGCTAAGAAAGGGAATAAAATATTAACAGATATAAATATTTTTAATATATGTGTGAAGTAATATCACAGTGTAACTGATAATAATTTAAACATATTTTATCGACCCAGTAAGAAGAATGCATGATGGTATTAGAGATCTTTCTTATGTTTTGTATGCTTCCAGGATATAAAATATTGGAAAAAACCAGTTTATACGTTGTGTTTATAAAAGATGTGTGAAATAGAATATGTTTACATGCATGTGTTGAATGTGTAAAACTAAGGTACTAGATATACTTCCTCAGGGTTCCCGAAAGTGTTATTTTTCAAGAGTAAACGGAACCAAAATTATGAACAACAAATATTTGTATTTCCTGCTTTTGAAGTTGATATGTCATGCTGTGTTGTAGCCTACAGAGTTCATAGTTCTCGTGATCCATGTCATGTGCACACTTTACTGACATCATGACAGCACACATTGCAACATTAAGCATCCCATATGTGATGTCATTTTAGTATCTACTGACTGACTGACAGACAACACGCTACTGTATAATGGTATGAGTGTTTAAAACAGGTGACCCTTCTAGATGGTCTTCGTCCTCTTTTCAGGAAACATTAGCTACTACTTGTAAAGTAACCATTCTTATAGTAAGAGAAGATACTAGTAAAAGTATGATCTGTTATTAACAAAGTGTAGAACCACTATATTGTTAAATTTACCCTTATAGCTATTTGAGGTACATGTTCCATAAAACACTGTTTTGTATTAGTTGCACAGTTAGGTTTTTAGAAGACTGTGTGTGAATGTTTAGATTTTTTTCCATAGAAGCAGTATAGTTCTGTGTGGGAATATAACTCTCACAGGGCACGTTCTCAATAATACAGACTACAGTGGATGTTTGAGACATAAATGTTTTAGCCTAATTTTATACATGTACACGTGTCAAAAAAAAAACAACAACAGAAAACTTTTTTTTTTGTTGCAGTTAACTTTGTTAGACAAGTTCACTTTAAATCTGTTTCCTTTCATTTCTAAATGGTATTTATAAATATCATGGAGAGTTCTTTTAATCCAGTTCATTAATTCTTGCTTCTACAGACCCATGTGGCAAATTAGTGCACTTGAATGTTAAAGTGTGTAGCAAATTCTTTATGTACATCGATTCACTAACTCATTTCAGGTAGCTCAACAGTGTAGAGAAAATATTTTTGCCATCCAAACACTCAAAGATTTTCAGTACATTGAAGAAAATAAAGATCAAGGAATAAACGTCAGAGAAAAATCCAAACAGTTAGTAACGTTACTCAGAGATGAAGAACGTTTAAAGAGCGAGCGGGTTAGAGCTTTGAAGGCCAGGGAAAGGTTTGCCCAGTCTATTTCCCACGTAGATCACGAGACAGGTGGAATGGTAAGTTAGCTCTCTTTTCTTAACTAACCTGTTGCTGATACAGTTCAGAATCTTAACATCTTTCAGATAGAACTGGGAAATTAGCGGCTTTCGCTAATCAGTTAATTGTGGGGCTTATTAATTGATTATCTTCACACGAGACTTGGATGGTTGGAATGATTAAAATAGTAACAATTGAAGACACTAAATTTATTACCTGGTTATTTCTGTGAGTCATAATGCTAATTGATTATACTAAACAGGCTTGAATTAATTTAAAATAATAATGAGAAATTATTTCAGTTACTTTAATAGTGGGACTAATTGAAGACTGTAATAACAGGAAATACTAATTTTGGTTAGTTAATTATTTTAAGATAGTAATCAATTTAATTGTAATTTTGATTGATTTATTATTTTATGTGGCACTTATTACTGTAATCAGTGCTCAGGGGTAATCAGTTACATCAACTGAGTTGATCACTCGAGGTTAATATAGTGTTTTTTTTTCAGTTCTTTTCACACTTTTCACTGTTGGTGTCTCATAGTATTTGCTTTTTTTGTTTAGCTGTATTCCATTGAATTTTTAATGGTAGACACTGAACACTAAATCCTAAATTTAAAGTTATTGTGTAAAGGCATAGTGCTGTTCAACTAATCATGACAGACTGTAAATTGATGTCAGGCAGAACAACACTCATAACTATAGTTGATTGAAAAGACTAATAGTTAAGGACTTTGAGAAGACAGTTTTCTAAAAAAAGAATTATATGAATTTTGTTTAAAAGAGAGCTTTAGGCAAAATATCATTCAAATTAATTTCCATTTCACAAAATATTCTGGTGGTAAATTTTTATACACAAACCTAATGAAGTTCTGTTAAATAGTGAGGATTTCATAAACTTAAAATGTAATTAAATCTATTTAGCATAATGTGCCGTTCTAGCCAGACATCAGTTGTTTTTTTTTAGCTTTATTAATATCTTCATTATTTTTTGGCTTGGAAATTTGAATATTGCTTACCTGTATTTGTGGTATTTTATATTTACTTTGTAAACAAGTTAGAGCTTTTAAAAAAAAACACGAAAAAATTGTTATAATCCAAAATTACCCATCAGTGAACTTAGCTGGAAATAGATTTGAGGATCCAAAGTGAATTTAAAATTTTTTTATATGAAAGTTGCTGATTGATACAAAGTGTTAGAAAGTAAAAAAAAAATCATAATTTATGTGTTAATCAAAATATAAAATTAACAAAAAAAAAACTATCTTTTTCCAGAATTGCTGTAAAGTCAGGTTACACAGTTTATAGTATGGCTGGAAAGTGTGGCAAAATAGAGCTGTGAGAGGCAAACTTGAATTAGTATTTTTAAGTATTGGACTTAGGTTTAAGTGTTCACATTGGGGTGTTTTGGCCAAAGTAAAAATAACTTTTTTTTGATAACATAAATTTGACTTTTTTTTGGGGGGGGGATAGTTTTGACATTATGATCAAAGTTTTAATGTAAAACTGGTTAAGTTTACTTTGTATAGAACTGTCTTTTCTGTTTTTTAGATAATTGGATTTGGATAAAAAAAGTGGTGGAAACAGTTTTTGAACTTATAGATTTTAAACATTTTTTTCTGATTATTCTTGTTATAATTTTCATGGATTATTGAAAACTCATTTTTGTTATTTTATTTAATATCAGTTTTTTTTATAATACAAAGTAGCATCAGCTTAATGTAGTGCGAAGTATATTGAAAACTACGTGTACGTAAATAACTTTCAAAATATACAGGTGGTGGTGGTGTTTTTTTGGAATTGGAGAAAAATAGAACATTGATTTGAACATTTTTATGCAAGGTTACCGGAAGTTACTTGCTACTAGAGGTTCTGTTGTAAGAAATACAAATTAAAAAGTAGCTAATATTTTCAAGTATTGTCTCGTACTCTTCAAGCAGAAGGGAAAATTTAGTTCTCCAGTTTTTATTCTAATAACGTACTCAACAATTTCGTACCTCATAACTTATATATGTTAGCTATGGTGTATTAGAAAAGACTGAATAATACAATTCGAAGGATCAGAAGAAGTTTGACCTTGCTGTGATTTTTTACTGATTGTTTTACCTATTTATGTTCATTTGTTTATATATATTGAGACTATAAATTCTCTCAAGTTCTTGGTTTTTTTTATTCATGTATATTTCCTAGTAGATTTATACATGATTATCTTAAGTAACTGAAAAAAAAAAGAGGTATTTGACCAATTTACTAATACGAAAGACTTTAGCATTTTAGGAATCTTCAAAATAACTTCAATAATATACATATGTTATCAGTAACTTTCAGCCTTTATTAGTATCTTATTCTCCCATTGTCTGTCTCTCTCTATATACATCTGTTCACTTCATTTTTAAACTGCTTCCAAAATTTTGAGCAAAACAATTTGAAATTAATCCCCCTCCTTCCTTTCCTACAATAAATATTTTGTAAAAGAATTGTGGTTGTGAGGGAGCCTAAAATGAGTCAGAAGCTATTTTTGGTGGATCGTAGGTTTGTATGAACCAGTGTTCCTGAAAAATCTAAGGAGTTATTTGAATATTAGTTTAGATTTCGAGAGTTTTTGAATTAGAATTTCCATATAAGAATAAGAGGGTTTTTTGGCTCTCGGGATTTACATGAAATTGGTACGGCTAGATAAAGGGTTGTGGAAATTAACATCTAGATTTAGATCTTATAAATTGTTACATTGAGGCCCCTAAATTTGGAATTGAGAAGTTTTTAGGGTCTTTTGGAATTTACTGTATTGCATGAACACTTTAGGACTTGCTCCAAAGAAGGTGTGCAAAGTTTTTGCATTATTGTTTTCCCATTAGTTTTCATGAGTAATTTAGTATTAATTACTAAAAGAAATTCAGGTGCTTTACTATTGGTAATGTTAAACTGTTAATCCATAAAACTACACAGTATTTTTTTTTTCAGTCTTCTGTTGCATAACTTATTTGATCCATTTTTCAGCATGAGTCTTCTCGTAGAGATGCCTACGGATCCCCAGATGGTGCTGCTTCTCCAAAAGGTTTGTCTTTTGTGTCTGTCTGTGTTATCACGCAGTTCCAAAAGGTTTGTCTTTTGTGTCTGTCTGTGTTATCACTCAGTTCCAAAAGGTTTGTCTTTTGTGTCTGTCTGTGTTATCACTCAGTTCCAAAAGGTTTGTCTTTTCTGTCTGTGTGTGTTATCACTCAGTTCCAAAAGGTTTGTCTTTTGTATCTGTCTGTGTTATCACTCAGTTATTTTTGTGTTATTAAAAATATTTCTTGCTGTTTTAAGTGTTTTATAAAGTTTGAAGATGGCTTCAATGGGTAGTGAATTACAAGTTTAACATAGTAACAAATGTACAACAGTTTACCTGTAACTAGCCTTTATCCATGAGATAATCGGCGGTAAGGAGAGGAACGAGATTGGGTTAGAAAGTAAGTCGTTTTGTCTGTTACCTGACAGGAATGAAGAGGGCAGCAAAGCTAAAGTTATTGGTTAGTCAGAAACCCAATAAAACCTGGGGATTGGGAAGTAACCAGTTTGTCAATTTACGAGTCCAGTAGGGGGACCATCCTTTGTTCTGTTGCAAGTACTCACATTGTTTTTTTGTCTTTGTCACAAATAGAAATTGTTTTCATTTTGTATACCACATAATGTCTAGCCTGTTTATTTCTGTGCCTGATCTCAGTTATTTTAGCTAAATTCAGAATTACTTCATAATTTATCTTGCTGATTCCCCCCCCCCCCATTATTCTGCCTAATAACTCTTTGAGGCAACCAGTTTCACCTGAAAACACCATCATAAAACTATACAAGACAAACGACTTGTTTGACAAATTAGCCAGTCATGATTGACTAAGATAAGTTGTCCTTACAGTTTGCTGTAGTTGATGTATCTCAATTAAAATCACTTTGTTTGTCTCGATAGTGCAATCAGAACTAGAAGGTGCTCGTCCTCAGAGTCCAGGAGAAGAAGAAATACAGTTACAGTTAGCTCTAGCCATGAGCAAAGAAGCAGCTGAACAAGAAGAACGACAACGACAAAATGATGACTTACGCCTTCAGTTGGCTATCACAGAAAGTAGAGATAATAGTACTATGCAGTCGTCATCTTCATCTAATAATAGACAGGGCATGCAACAGAAACAGATTGGTGCAGATGATCTGTTTAGACTGAAGGTCAGTGAATAGACTTTTTTTATTGTTATAAATTTTGAACAAACTGACTGAGCCCTGGTGTCTGTACTTCTAAATAGTTTAAAATATATTGTCACTTTTATATTTTCATAGACTTTAAAAATTCTTTTTTTTTTTTTCGTCACTCACTTCTTTTTCCATAAGATGAAGTAAGATATGTATTAATTGCTTTCAATATATCAATTTGTGGTTGTTAATTGTCACTTACTGAACAACATCCATGTTGTTACAGTTAACTTAAATAAAACATATCTTTCTTATTTTCTGATCTTGTACTCATTGGTTATCGAAACATGCGCATATGAAAAAATCTTGCCTGTAATGAATCGTTAGGAAGTAATGCTTACTATGTAATATATTTCAAATGAATGAATTTAATTTTTAAAACAAATTTCCAGACGACACGTAGGTTTGCTAACAGTAAAAGGAAATAGATACCTTGAAATAATAAGTGATATTTCTATTAATTTTTAAGTGTGAGGAGTACTTTGTATAAAACAGATACTTTTTTTTTCTAGAATCAAATAGGTTAAATCCACAACTATCGTACAAATATTTTAATTTTAGAATTATAGACCTTTTCCAGCCAGAAAAGAATGAAATGTAAGTCGAAATTTTTCTCTGTGAAGCTACATTTATCGTAAATATATAATTTCGGACATTTCCGCAATGGCAAGAATTTTTATAAGCTTTTTTTTTTTGTTCATTCAAGAAAGATTTATTTTTGTTATGAAACTTTTGAATAGCGATTGGTCTATTTTGTTCGTATAGCCAGATTTTCTCTTTTCGGTAGCAAACGTACATTTCATTCATCCATGAAGTATCGTCGTCAACCTTGTGTACAAAGTGCGGTACCTTTTTTTTTTTTTTATTAAACATTGTTGAAAAGTTGTACTTAGGTTTAAATATTTTAAAGTTTAATGCAGAATATGGATTTAGCCAGGAAAACAGAAATACCAAAATAAAGGCTTGTTTCGGATACTCGACAAAGCTATACAATGGTCATCTGTATGTACATAGCTGTCTATAATTTTGAACTATTAGACTACAGGAAAGGCAGTCATTCAACAGCACCAACTACATCTCTTGTTTGACTGAATATTTGAAAATGACTGTCACTCTTATAGTGCACCAATGGGCCCCAAAAGTGCACATTTCCACAAGAAGAAGACATGAGCCACAAACTTTTATTTTCACTGTGCAAGCATGCTAACAATCACAGGTAGCCCTTGTGTAGCTTTGTACGAAAATTTATAAACAGAAAAACAAAGAATAGAGTATCTTTATTATAGAAAATCATCACGATCTGTTTATCGAAAAAGCAAATATTTATTTAAATCACACGTTATTCAAGTTATTATACATTCATTAGAAGCTCCGTGCCATCGAAAACGACCTATCGTAGTCAAAGAAACCGAAGCATATAGTAATTGCTTAAAGCTCAGCTTTAGTTAATAGTGACTGATAAACTAACAGTATAGAATTACTTCTAAATGCATACATGTTGTAAGAAAAAAACTGGGAAATTAACATGTTTAAAATTGAAGTATGTGATATAATACAAATTGGTTGTAGCATAACAAACTATATTAAAATTTGAACTAAAAATAAAATATGTGAGGTAGGAAACCAAGTATGTAAAACTTTGGTATTTCAAATTTTCTAATAAACATTCAATAGATACTTTTATTATGTTTACAGTTTTAAATTTGAATATTTATTTTGTTCAAAGACAAGTTTGAAAGAGATTTCCTACTGCATTTCATTTGCCAGGAGAAGGTGGTAGCTACCGTATTTTTTAGAATATAAGACGCACCCTTATTTTGAAGACGAAAGTTTTGGGGGAAAAAAAGCTACAG